TGTAACGCCGAATTGGAGCACAGCTCTTGAGGAGGAGGAGTGAAGGGTACTGAGGGGAGGGTAGACCCCTCCTCCTTCTCCTCCTCCTCCTCCCCTCATTCTTTAATATGCTCCGGGGGGGGGGGGGGGGCACGTGACCTCGGGGGGGGGGTGTCACGTGACTTCGGGGAGGGGGGTCACGTGACCTCGGGGAGGCGTGACCTGGGGGTCACGTGACCTTGGGTGTCACATGGGGGTCACCTCAAGGTCACGTGACCCCCAAGGTGACCCCCACGTGACCTCAGAGGGGTCACGTGACCTGGGGGGTCACGTGGGGGTCACCTTGGGGTCACGTGACCTTGAGATGACCTTGGGAGGGGTCACGTGACCTTGGGGGTCACGTGACCTTGGGGAGGAGACCACGTGACCTCGGGGGTCACGTGACCTCAGAGGGGTCACGTGACCTTCAAAGGGTCACGTGGGGTCATCTTGGGGTCATGTGACCTTGAGATGACCTTGGGAGGGGTCACGTGACCTTGGGGGTCACGTGATCCCAAGGTGACCCCACGTGACCCCCAAGGTCACGTGACCTTGGGGGTCACGTGACCTTGAAATGACCTTGGGAGGGATCACGTGACCTTGGGATGACCTTGGTGACGCCGACGCCGCTCAAGCCGGGAACGGGCCCCTAAGAGCTGCGCTCTAAAATGAGAGCTGAGGTTGAAAGGCAGATAGAACAGCTTCTAGAATGGGGTATGATCTATCCAGTTGAATCAGAGTTTGCTCATCCGGTAGTGTGTGTAGCGAAGAAGGATGGGAGTGTGAGATTGTGCATCGATTATAGGCAATTAAACGCGATCACTGAAGTCGATGCCTTTCCAATGAATAATGCTACCGAAATGATCTGGATGGTCACGAAGGCGTCGTACATAACAGTACTGGACCTAACCCGTGGGTATTGGCAAATACCAGTCGAAGAACGGTCTCAGAAGTTCACGGCATTCGTAACCAATCGTGGGCAGTACGCATGGAAAGTTATGCCCTATGAATTGAAAAATTCAGCGGCAACTTTTCAGCGCGTGATGAATGAAGTGTTGCGACCACACAGAGAATATGCAGGCGCATATATCGATGACATTGCAATATATTCTTCTAAGTGGGAAGACCACCTTTTGCATGTAAAAAGCGTTCTCGAAACCTTGGGGCTTACGGTGAAGCTGTCCAAATGCAGGTTTGCCCAGGGAATGGTCATGTACCTCGGCCACCAGATCGGCTCTGGGAGGCATGCTCCTGACCCCGTTCGTATCAAGGCGATTCAGATCATGGAGAGGCCAAAGACAAAGAAAGAACTGAAGAGCTTTTTAGGGCTAATGAACTACTATAGAGACTACATTGCGAACTATGCTGAAGTGGAGTTGCCGTTGACCGAGCGAACTGGACACAAGACTCTGAACGTGTTACCGTGGGGTGACGAGGAGGAACAAGCGTTTCAAAAGGCAAAGTGTCTCCTGATGGAAGTCCCAGTCATGAGAGCGACAGATGCCAGCCAGCCTTTTGCTCTGTCCACCGACGCATCGGATAGAGCTATAGGGGCATGTCTTGCCCAAAGGGCAGGTGATGGGAAAGAGTACCCGGTGGCGTTTCTCAGTAAAAACTAACTGATCCCCAAACCCGGTGGGCTGTAATCGAACGTGAAACTTACGCGATTGTGTGGGCCTTGGGTCAGTTGGAAACGTGGCTATTTGGGGCGGAGGTCGAAATTCGCACCGACCATAACCCTTTGCAGTATTTGGCGTCAGCAGCACCAAATAGTGCGAGGCTGACTCGTTGGGTGCTAGCGTTGCAAAAATTTAACCTGAATGTCCGGTACGTAAAAGAGACGAGAAATGTCCCTGCTGATGCGTTGTCAAGGCTGTAGCCGGGTGGAGTTTTGTTTGTGGTTAATGTACTTTAGATGTTCTCAAGAAGTTTGTCAGTCTTTCTAGTGATCATTCACGCCGAATGGACGGGAATGTGCGCGCAGTTCGTTTTCTTTTGTTCTAAATGCTACGATTGTAAAGGAATACACAAATTGTGATTTTTTTATTGGAAAAGAAAAAAAAAGGGGGGGGGGGGGGCGTGTCATGCATGTGGCATGCACGAGGCAGCGGATTCAGCGCGCGCCGTCGCCGACGGGTTATCGGGCTTTGTGATTGTTATTTTTTCGTTACCCGTGGTGTACGCTGATTGGTGCGACGAAAAAAAGACGAAGTGACGACGGAAGGACCGAGGCTGGAGACGGTGCGCGAGGAGAAAAAAGGAACGCGGTGGGCTGGAGCTGGTGCAAGCACGACTTCGAACCAGAATAAAACGCTTTCCCCCCAAAAGGCTGGCTCCCTGCCTTCCCGGGTCCCACGGCGCCCAAACCACAAGCCGTGGTTTGGGACTTGCCCAGATGTACTATGTGCATTTCCTGCCTAAGATACAATGTGGTAGGCATGGCTCTCCCACCGTATCTGCGACTACGCTCGCTCGCACCACCTAGGTGACGAGGCCACAGCACTATCGTGCCTGGAACGCGTCTCCCACCGCTGCGTTTGGCATTCCATTCCGCCTGTGCATCCAAAGCAGTCCCCAAGCGACAACAAATGATGCCGCAAAAGCCAGGGTGCCACGTCGTTGGATGTCGCAATCCCGGCGGTCTGTTGTAGAAACGCCGGCGAAAAGGACGAACGAACGTCAGTGTCGCCGTCGTCGCAGCGTCCCAACTGCGAGGCCTCCGTGGACCGCTGAGCCGGAGAGCAACCCGCACTCTTTTTGGTGGAGAGGTCGCGGCTTATGGCCAAACATTGACGTGGCACTTGTAAGGCGGTTTCCATCGGCAGAGTACGAAACTGGAATTGGCTAGGTGCCGACAGTACACTGCGCATTCTGCGTTGAAAGATTACCTCTGGTAATGCGCGGGGAACACTAACCGAAGGGCTATGGGTAGGACTCCACGTTTCCAGAGTTTACTATTTATCGTGAAATTCGAAGGGTGTGTTTCTGGGTTTATCTCTTGCCAAGATTTCTGAGTTTGTCGGAGTTTCTTTATGAAAGATTCCCAACTGACCCAAATTCAAAGTTTAATTTTGCTTTCAATCCAATTTTTAAAAATTCAATATTGAAACAAATATTATCCGGACAAAAACCTGTTCTAAATTCGTAAGAACTTGCATGTATCGAAAGATGTTTCTTTGGCTGGAATGGGCATTCACGCCCTTGCCGCTGGTAATACTCGACTGTCCCGAAACAAGACTCGCAAACTAGTGTTGCTTTAAAGGGGCCCTGCAATGACTTTTTGACTGGTTTTTAATTTGCACTGAACCTGAGCGTACTGAACGTAGTAACTTAATCCAACTTTTCTTTTCTCAAATTTCGCTTTATTTTAAAAGTTATAGGCAAATTAGAATTACAAAAACAAGCAAAAAATAACCTCCTTCATGACGTCGTAGGTCCTGCCTTGAGTGGCGTTGAACTAGAGGAGGAGTAGTGAGCTCATCGAGCGTACACGGCTGCCGCACTCCGTGTCGACGGCTCGAGAGGGCGCCACTAAAGCACGTGTTGGATAGGCTGTATGAAGCGGGCGGCCAGGGCAGCTCGTATTGCATTTGCAGCACGACTAAACACTAATTCGGCATAACATTTCATTGGCCACAAACGACAGCAAAGACGGGGTAAAGATCAGTTCAGAACGGGAGCCACTTCGCGCTGACGCACCGCCAAATGGCCAAATCGCCAACAGGGCCCGCGCCGAAGGCCTTCGGAACGCTCGGAACCGGTCGGATTCTTGAGCCGGTATACGACCACAGCGCCGCCGCGTACATCCGGGACCTTTCTACGCTCCTCGTTTGTCGTAGCCTCATCCCACTAGCCTTTTCTAGTATGCGCCGTTTTTTTCCGCCGCTTGGTGGCGGGTATGTCGACGGGTCATTTCTCGTTTCCGTACTTTCTAAACTGCATTTGTTTCTTTTCTGATATAAAATAGTGAACAAAAACTACTTTCATACATAATTGAAATGGTTCGCGACACTTATATTTTGTATCTCGACTAAAAAAAAGCTCTTAGCAGTTTTGACCAGTGACAAGCCCAGGACCAAAGACGTCACATTTTGCGCTTTCGGTACCGCGGGTCGCCCTCGTCGGTGGAGGAGGTTTCCGCGTCGTCCGGTTAAAATATGACGCACTGATATTTAGTTACTCTCTCCGTGCCCGCTGGCTTGCCCGAACCCCAAGAGACGTGGAAACCGCAAAAAAGGTAGACGCTTAAATATATTGCAGGGCCCCTTTAATAAACGTCAATACTTTAAGATCACTGAAATCCTTGACCTAGTCTCTGCAAAGCTCAATTTTTTTCCCATCCCATTTCACCGCTTCTCCCTGCAGATGCGTGGGGTGGAGTGGCGAGATAAAACCTTCAGCTGCTCCCCTGCCTTCTTTCTATATTCTTAGCTTCCACTATTATAAAATTACAACACCCCCTTCCTCTAACAGGTCTAAACTGAAAGCTACAACAATGGCTTTAGTCGTCATGCAAAATGACAATGACTAATAGTCCTGAACAAAACTTGACAAGATAAACGGTGAACCCCTATTTGTCGAAAGTCCAAGATTCGGAAGGAAACTGAAGAGGCCTCTCCTCAGGACCACTGACACAAGCGTTTTTGCAGAACACCGTGTTTGTTTGCTTGTTTTTTCACCGTCGCAGCACCATAATTCAGATGTGGTAGATAAATCCGAATTAACAAAAATTTTAACGTCAAGCATTTTTTGGATTTTACTGAATTTATCCAAAAGCACGAAACCTTAGATCTAGGCAGTCTCTAACCAGGCTTCCTTCCTGAATGTCAAACAAAATTTCCCTCTCTAAGAAGAAAAAACAAAAAGAGCACGCAGTATTGCGCTAAGAACGAGTGAAACAGCATTTGCTGAACGCCGAAGAGTGGCTCCGTCCCAAACCCCCGTGTCTGTAAAGGAAAGGTGCCAACAGAGCTGCAACTCACCCCTGCGTGCGAGGCGCGTGTCCGGGTCCGTGTCCACGAACAGTTTCATGTGAAACATGTCGCGCACTTCGGGGAAGTAGAAGAGCAGCAACCCCTCGACCAGCACCACGTCCACTGCGGGGGAGACCGTCGTCCACTCGTCCTTCCGCCTGCCGAGGAAACAACCGCGCTGCTTGCCTAAGCATCTCGGGAACTCCGTCTTTCGAGCTCGTGATGAGGCGCACTCCGTTTCTTTATGAGAATCACTTCAAATTTTAGCTAGAGTTTTTTCTCGACAGCACAAAAGTCTCTTTTGGCCGCTCGTAACCACACGTTGAGAAAGTCGGGAGCGTGTTGTGTCGAACTGGTAAACTGTAAACCGTAAAGTGAGGAAGAGAACATTGTTCCCCTTTTGGCCTGGGGATGCAAGCAATAAGGATAAGGTCATTGATTAAGATGAGCGAGCAGACAAAACTTGCGACAAAATATACAGACTCTTTTAAATGCATTTCGTTAAGGCGAGTCGTTTCGTGGAGCAAGCCGTTCCAGGGTTTCTGGAATCTTTGCACCGAGTTACAAATGCTGGGGATATAAAGTGATGAGTCAGTACCAGCTGCAAAATGAGGCCACAGACTGAGCAGGAGAGGTGTGAAGGGGGATAGAAAAACATCGACAGTCCCCTTGGACTTCCTCTTGGCCTGCTTTAGCCCAGGGTGCCTTAGCATTGCATAGTACACATCCTACAAGTCTGCGCAAAAAAAGTATCAACAACAACAAAAAATGATTTTTTTTTTTTTTAGTGGGGCCCTGCTTAATATTTTATAATTTCTCACATTTTTGGAGGGATGTTCGAGAGAAGTTTAACAGCAGTGCCAACCCATTCACTTTAAAAGCCGGCAATCAGCTGGTCGCCACAGCAAAGACCAAAATGCACAAAGCTGGCGATTCTACGGTCTCCATTAAAATGTTTGTCTCCTAAATATGCCGACACAGTGTAGACCGCATATAACGTATGTCGCGGGAGTCGCGAAAATCTGCACTATAAGCGGTACCGCGCTATAACCAAAACATCAATTTTTCAGCCCAAAATACATGCTATGAGACAACTTACCTTCGTAAAAGAATTTATATTATGTTAGATGAAAAATAAAGCTTAGTTTGAGGAAAGTCTTTATTTCACCAGACTAGTACAGTTTTGTCTCATGTGTGTCACACATTTTGAAAGAAATTAGCGGCTTTTGCCTGGCGCAGCCTTTTAACGGCGTCGCGGGTTGTGGACGGACTTTGCGAGCGGTCAGGATTGCTAACCCTAATCACTTTTCTCCGGAGATGAAAACGTGTGAAAATTCGCATCCTTCATACGGTATGCGCCAGTAATACCTCGAACTTGAGCACACGCATGAAATGCGCCAAATAAGAAATTCGGGCGATGTTCGAGGACACAAATGCTTATAGAAATCACCACTGTAGTCGAAGTAAACAAACACGACGACACGGGCGTTTCTGCCGTCTTGAAAGCACCGCCACGACATCGCCGCACGAGTAGGTGGATCTTCCCTTCTAGTACGTGCTGGGTTATCATAGCGACACACAACGAAAATTCACAGTCAAGAATAGCGCTTTTACGCAGAACGATGAGATGAATGCCGTCTACGACGACGATCACAACCGACACCATATTTGCGGATAGAAGCAGCAGGCCCGCGACCAGCATGCAACGCGCGCGAACACTTCTCCGACTTCTCCTCGATCTGCGATTGGTCTGTCGGTGCGGTTGTTTGTTTCTTTGTTTCCACGCAGCGGAGGGGCGGAGGGACGCACGCTCGTGAACGACACGTGCGTGCGTCCCTACTGAAGCCTCTCTTCGCTTCTCCCCACTTCTTCGAGCAACATCCTCGCCCCGCGCCGTCAGCGCCGTTATCTAGTGTTGCACAGGGAAGCGTGCTCGCTGCTCCGGTCGTCGGCGCGGTTGGCGGGCTGTGCCAAAAACCGCACTATAACTGGTATTTCCCTTCACGCGCCTGCATTTTAAGCGGTATGTAAATACATGGAGTTCTATGGGAGGCGAACCGGTGGTTTAAGAAAACCGCGTTATACCCGGTCCTGCACTATAAGCGGTTACGTTGTAAGTGGTCTATACTGTAGATGGCGACCAATTACAGTACTCATCTTTTGGTTAGTAGTTCTGGCACCAAATGGTACTTCGTGTTCCTAGTTTTTACGTGCATTCAGGAGTGAAAAAAAATTCCGAGAACACCTAAGTACTTCTCATGAGTTGTAAATGCGAAAGCATTAATGTCCAATTGTACGCTGCTAAGTGTTAAAGTGGACGATCACGTTTCGCTACTGCCGAAATCGCGGCTGCCAACAGTATAGATGCCTCAGGTACCCAGAGGTTCCTCGGCGCCAAGAGGAGCCAGAAGGGGCAGCAGCGCTTCTCTGACAGGGAGTCCGGCGTTGCGCCTAGCAGACGGAGCGGAATTTCGCACTCCTCCTCACCCCCCTCCCCCCCCTCCCTCCCTCCCTCCCCCCAGTCCGGCCACGCCTCACGCAGCAGTCGCCACCCCCTTCCTTTTGTTGGTGCATGGGCCGCAGCGCCAGAGGACAGGGCTTCTCTATGGGGTGGTGTTCCTTGGAACTATGATGCGTCGCGGCCATTTTAACTGCCGTGATTCAGTTGCTCGTTTGCGGTCACAGACAATGCCAGCCACGCTCCATGGGACAGTTAGTGTACAGTGGCTTAAAGGGGGTGGTGTAACGAATGAAACCGGAGAAGCGGCACAGCGTTGGAAGACGGCTGTGGGTGGAGCTGGCACTTGCAGCACCGTCGTTCCGGCTATGGCTCCGGCTTGGCCGCTTGGTCAGCTTGGCTCCGGCCGATTCGCAGCTGTCGACTACACTGTCGTCTGCTAGATTCACATTTTTTATTCACCTTCAAACACAAATCATGTCGCTGGAAGTTCGAAGCGCCATCTACATCATCTTCCAAGGAGTGGCCGTTCCCGATGCATGATGGAGGCTACGCGATAACCACACTACCCCCTTTAAGCCACTGTAGTTAGTGCTTTCGCATTAAAAGGAAGCTTGCAGATGTTGTTTTTTAACAACTCACCCAAGCGGTGAAATCATTTATCTTTTGTTTGACAGAAAGAAAGGTGATGACTTTTGGTGATTCAGAAATCATCATGGACATTAGCAGCAGCGACAGCGACAGCACGAAAAAGCCGAGGTGTCCGAAACCGCAATTGATTCCTCGGCGGCGCCTGCACCATCAGTTTTTAATGCTCAACTGCAGTTCGCTTCTTTTCCAGTATACAGTAAACTCTCATTTGAGCTAACTTCAAGGGACCCAAGGAAATAGTTCACTTAACTGAGTGTTCACTAAGCTGAATATATTCGCTAGAACATGGAACAGCATAGGGCACAGCATACATTGAGTCAAAAGTGTAAAATGCAATTTGTAGAGTCATGTACATCGATACATACAAAATGTATAAAAGTTGCGTCGCTGCCTTTCTCATTTCGAAAACAAATATGTAATTTCCATTTGCACCGCTCTTAAAAGGTAACTGCAAAGAAAAAAGTTAATTTCTTAAACAGCCTAGTTTGGACAAGCATGCCAAAAAATAATTTTTCCGCGAGAAAAAAATTTTTTTTACTGCAATGACTGATTTTAGTTTCCGGTTATTTCGTTCATTATAAATCGCGAGCCACAAAGTGGGTGTTCCGTGACGTTTAGCACCCATTGGCTGCTATACTTCTCATTGGCTAAGAGTTTGATTGACAGCTTAGATCTTGGTTGTTAAACCTTTCTTATATGTTGGAATTTCCTTTTGAGCGGCATATTTCTATGTGATGAGAATTATTACTCTCTACAAAAGGTTTACAAGACGGGCACTTTCGTTTGGATTTATGCCCATAACAAACAAAATTTTCGCCATTCTTTCATGGCCGCCGAAGTCTCTGCTCCCGCTCGTCCCGCCTACCTCGACTAGTCGTTTCGCCGAAGTGATCAGTGTTTCATGCTGACCCAGGAGCTTGGCTGAGACTTCTTGAAGTGAAGTAGTGTGTGTTTAGCAGTTGTCGCAGGTGTTAGTGATAGGAAGCGATGCGGGGTTTTGGCTCTCATAGTGCAGTCCTTTCGTTTTCCTCTTTGCTTGATATAGTGTGCTTTTTTCTTTTATTTATTTATTTAAATACCTTAAGGACCTTCTAGGGGGTATTACATAAGGGGTGGGTATACAGCGTAAAAACAAAAGGGTAGAAAACACGCCAAAAACAACTCGCATACAAAGAGCAAATACACACAAACGTAAAAGGCAAACTATACACATATATTAGATGGTTTGTACAAACCTAAAGTAAGGACTCTAGCAAGCGTTTTTTAAATTCCATCGGGTCATGAGTGATGACGACGACTTTTTTTGCTTGCGCGTGCAAATGCCGACTTTTTTGGAGATGTCAGCTCCTGTAAAGTGGTGCCATTGCTCTGTAAACTGCTACCAGATGAGTGATCGCAACAGCGAGCCTTCCAGCAGCCAAATCGCCCCGAGAGGAATGCTATTTGGCTGGAGGCAATCAGGCGTTCCCGTAGCGACAAACGTGTCCAGTTACGTTCTCTCATTTCGCTCCGGAAGCCTTCGAGATTCGCACCGGGTGTACCGAACGTCTGCGACTGAGGCACAGTTGTTACGTAAAAAACCGGGCACAGCCAGGTTATTACATAACAGCTGTCCGCAGAAGCCTTCGGACGTCCGAATTCTGCGTTAGCCGACAGACTTTTTTTCTTGGCTTCCAACCCATCCTACGCAAAGTAGTTTGAATTGAATGTGTACTGTTATCGTTAATTTTGGCTTGTGATCTGTGCGGTGGACATAGCTGTTTACAACAGCGATATACATTGAGGAAAACCAATCGCGAGAATGGCGAGCCAGTTACAAGGGTTAGAAATTCGAACATTGGTCAAGCAGGCCGTCGAAAGGGTGGTTATTCCTGGACACAGACGAGGCATAGTAATTACGACTGTGGACACGCTGTCAACGATTCAAGAGGCTCGTAAATGGTCTCATTTCTCTAGGGAAAGTCCTAACAATAGCATGAAGCAGAATTCATTGAGGTGGTGCCACATCCAGCGAAGTTCAAGGTACAAAGTGCAAGTGCCATAGAGTGTGAGAAAATACGATATTCACACTTCTGCAGCTTAAGCCGCTTTATATTTGCAAAGCTCTTTAGGTGCATTGCATTTGCATACTAGAGTGAAGCCCGGTTATATCACACTCGGGTATTTCGAATTATTGTTTATATCAAACGGTCCAAACATCGCCGTCAAAATCATATATAATACACAGCAGCGTTGTCTTTTTGTATACAACTCCCATGGCGGGGACACTCGATGTAGCGAACCAAGCCCGGCCGCACATTGCTTTTCCCGGGATCGGTGACAAGCACCACAGCTTGCGTTGCGTGGCTGGCAGACTGCCAAGCCAGCATACATGCGGGAAGACACGCAGCAAAAGAGCAGTTGTAAAAAGGAGAGACAACGAAACCATAGAAAAAAAAAAGTGGAGAATGGCAAAAGCATGGGGAAGGGCACGCACGCACGCCTGTGCCTTTTTACTGAACACTGCTGATGCTGCACGACTCCCTAGCCCTAAAATAAAACAAGCAAGAGAAAGGTCTTTGGCAAGCCGAGCGTACCGAGAACAATGGTTGTGCAATAGCACTTTCAATGCCTTTTCTTTGTTTACCCTTTTCTTTTGCCGTTATTGCTTTGCCCGTTTTTCCTTTTAATGCAAAAGCATTGAAGGAGCTGTGCAACGATTTTAACGTTGAAAGAATTGGCATCTTCTGCTTTTGATATTGTTTACCTTGTCACAAATGACAGACAACACACCTCCTTTCATCGAAATGTTGCGATTCCGCCGCGTAATAGCGAGGCAAAACTTAGGATATTCCCCGACCTGCAGCCGCGAGCGGCGCCCATGAGAAACATGCGGCGTGATGTCAATGGGGAATCTTGTAGAAAGATAGCAAGCTGTGCAAATACCTACTCGATAAAAGGTAACTTTTCTATAAATCTTGTCCTTCCAACATGCATATAAATGCGTCAAAAACCTGGTATCATCGACAAAACTTTTATTATACGGAGTTTTAGTGGCGCCATCTATCCTAGGTCCACAAAACCGTCAGCTCTCTCTGCTACCGCGAACAGCCGCCAGAAGCCGGAGGGGGAGGGGGACAGGGCCGGACGGGTATGGCCGGACCCAGATAAGACTTTCCTCCTTTCACCATATTGTTCGCGCGACGCCCGCCAGCACGTGGTAACACGGTCGCGAGCGGATGAGTTCTCGCTGCTCACTGATGGCTCTAAAGAGAGAACTTTTCCGGAACCCCGCGCCTACCCCATCAACGTCACTGCACACGTTACCCGGAAGACGACGTACGAGTTGAGAGGTGGCAAAAACCTGGATCTTTTTCATTTTTTAAAATAAAAACCAGGATATCCAGACGACAAAATCTGTTTTCTGTAGTTCACTTCAGAAGTGTCAGGCATCAACTTCCACAATAATTTAAGCAAAGCCCTGAAATTGTTGCACAGCTCCTTTAACTGTTTCATGGAGCGAGCTGACGTCATCAGTTTGAAGCACGAAAACGGCACCTAGTTTCCGTGATCCCATTAGAAGCAAAGTAAAGCTGATAGATTCTTCGGTTCCATTGGCTGGCATGCGTCGACGGGGCTCCCATTGGCTGCTGTGCTCGTCCGTTTCCATGACCACTCACCCTATAACACTGCATGTCCATCAGCATGCCGTTAACACGGAGCATCCAAGGACAGCGTGCTTAGGGGAGCACACGTGCTGACCGGCGATGAAAAGTACGCAGCGGAGAAAAAAGGGAGCAGACGAGCGGCTTGCATGCTTTCGCATTCACAACTCATAAGAAATGCTTAGGTGTACCTCAATATTTTTTTTTTGGCCTTTCTTTTTTTGCTGCCTGAATTTAGTGAGCTTTCTTTTTCATTGCTTGCTTAACATTTTTCTATGGATCAAGAGATTTTTTTTAGGCGTCTCACTTTGCCGTTTTTTTTCTTCATCTTTTAAAGTTATTTTTGTGTTTTGTTGCTTATGCTGTCTAGAGGTCCCAGCAGGCACAAGCGCCGTGGTGTTTGCAGTCCCCGCCAACTATGCTCTACTGAATTTAGCGGCTCTTGGGTGCCCCATTTGGTAAGCTCCCGTTTGACGCGACCTTCAGTATTAGCAGAGACGCGAGAAAATTTCAACTAGAGCTTAATTTAACATATTTTTGTATATTGAAATATTAATATATTGAATTATTTTATGAACCCTTTGAGGTTCAATATATCCGGGTGCGACTGCATTCAAGGTCAATAAAAACAAGAATTATCTTCCACACAAAGCTTTGGCTCTACAGGTGGTACCAGTCAGAGAGAAATGGGGTGCAGGGAACTGTGCAGTCGAGGGCAACGACACAGCGGAAGTGAGGCGGTTAATGATCCGTTCCATAGTGCATGGAGTGGTGCCTTCCCTTATCGAAAACGAGTGGGAAGGAAGACCATTACTATGGCGTTGATGAAAGGGAGTCGGCTGGTCCCCGGAACTCCAAACGTCGCTTGTGATTATCTTGAACAGCAAAAATGGGCAGCCACCCTCCCGAGGAGGATGATCCCATCAAAAGCCCACCTCGAGTTGGTGATGAAGTCATAGACTGGAACCTGGACCACCTTCTCTTGCAGGATGTCTTTCAGGGTTGAGACCATAAGCTGGTCATCAAACGCACCTGGGAAACGAGAAACAAGGGCTGTGGTTCCCCACTTTTAAAGGACTCTAGGCATTTCCAGATCTCCTTAAACACAGTGTGTTATAGACCCTTCAAATAATCGCCTTGTGCGCGGTCTCACGTTTGTCCAGTGGGCTATAAAATGCATTCTCAGCATGCCAAGTACAGCAATGGAAGTGGCATTCAAACTGTTCTGTAGCAAGCAAAATGTTGGTTTGGAGCAGCCCCTGATGCTTTTGGAGCAACATCTGTTAGCATATCAGTTGAAAATTAAAAAGTGACTGCTTCGTTAGATGAGTTTATATATGATATTGATAGAGAGTTCCTCTTTCGTACTCGAGCATATAACTTATTACCTTTTGTGATAAGAATAGAGGGGGTGCAAAGGGAACAGACAGCTTTCTTTTTAAAAATAAGGGTCGGGTCAGAGCAAGTTCGATTAACAATAGGTGTTAAAAATGGTTGAGAAATTCGTCATAGCGCAACACTTCAGTTGGGATAAAGCCTCTCTCCCCTCCCAATTTATACTCTGTGGTTTATTTAGCCTGAAAAGATAATTTCTTCAAAATGCCAACAAAAAACAGCCTATCCGCTAACACTTATATCAATAAAAATGCGGCCCCCAATTTTTGTGAACCTACCAAACCCAAGACTCTAATATGACAAACTGAAAAAATAACCACATACAAATATTATGAAAACGTATACTGCTCTATGGCAGCGTTGGAACCAGAATAAAGTCAAAGTTTGGTACTCTTTCGATCGACAGCTGCACGGGAGCTACCTCGACTACCGTATTTATTCAAAATAAAATAAACCACATTTTTTTCTTGTCTGTCTTGATGCAGATATTAAAAACTAGAGATCAACGAGCTACAATCAAGACCAAAGAAGGTAGAACTGAAAGAGTACCGAGTATAATTTCCGAACCTACCGCGCTAACTTAGGTGCTCGCCCATGTCGGCCGCTGCTCGTAGCATTCCGGTGCAAAGTGGCAAAGCTCGACACGGTGTACGTTGGTGAAGAGACGGCACGGATGCATGTGGCAGACACAATAATCAAGAATTCTCATCAGGAGTGCAAGACCCTGGTTCTGTCTTATCACAGTAGCCACCATCATCCTATTTTGCAATGTCTTATCGAGATTGTTAGCTCCCGACATCGCTGACATTGTCTGTCCAGTTGAACCGCCAGTGCATCAACGGGCCAGTGCGGTTGACGAGCAATCTCAATACTTTGTTTTATCTTAATTTAGAGCGTATCCGACGCTATGAGCCAATGAGACCAACCAAACGGCGTCAATGTGCAACATCGTGGCATTCGTCCATCTTTTTGTATATGTTCTTTCGACTAAACCAATGAAGGGCAGCGAATGTCCATTGACTTGCACTTTTAGTATGTGTTTGTGGTTGTGTGTGTTCAAGCCTTTGTGATCTGACCTAAGATGAAACTATATAATGAGTAGAGACGCTGTGAAATATGTATTTGTACCATTTTGCTTTCCTCCTACTTCTCTAAATGGTAAAGAGTCGACCATAATCAAATTTTTATATTTTTGCTCTTTTTAAGCCTATCTCAGCGCAGGTGTGGCGCAATTCTTAACTTAACAAAAATAGTGCTTCGGCACAACATGTAGCAGACTTTCAATCATGGTGCAATTTGGCGCAGCACTTCCATCACTGCAAATACCTCCCTTCTGCAAAGTCATACATGATTGCAGACTGGTTTGACGCTCATTCAGATCGAAACGGCGATCGAATTTAGAATTTAGAGCGCAGGGAGCAAAAGCATGAGCTTTTCTCCCCGCGTTCCAAGGTGAGGTGTATTAACGAACTCGGCCAGCGATTTTCCCACTTTTGATACATTTGAAATATGTGCAAAGGATGTATCAAGCACCCACCCCAGCAAACTTCTGAGCCCCCATAGCTAGCCAAGGTGCTTCTCCACATCAGCTGCTGCAAGCCGGTGAAGCTTTTTATGTGCACGCTAGTGCGAAGTGGTGAAGCTTGAAGTGAGAGCGCCGACGTGAAGCAGGCCCGACGAAAGCAGTGCAGCTTCTTTACCTCTTTTGTGACCGCGCCCATCGGCCATTGATCACCGGTGATCGATGGTTTCCAGACACCATCAAGAAATTAAAGCTAGTGCGGGGAACTATGTTCCCCAATCTCTTCAATAGCGAAAGAACTGTAGTTTCGGTTTAAACATAGATTTACGCTTTATCACAAGCTGGTGGGCTGTCAAAACTAGTCCTGGGAATGGTGGTTGCACTTGTTTAGCTTGGCTAACTGCTTGCATCAGTCTTCATAAGAAAGACAGCATTATTTACATAATTCAACTGTACTGCGGCATATTTTTTAGACCTCAAGAGCTCTGGGGACACTTTAAATGATGATATGGCTGTCGCTTAACGGATGGTTGTCGGTAAGCATCACTATAATTTCCAATGGAGTCCTGAGCCAACGTGCATGTTCCATGTTCTCAACAAGGTGGGCGAAAATGCTGAATTTGAAGGAACTGCAATCGAGGCTATGACAAAATCAAGGTAGAGCACAAAGAAAGCATTCTGCTTGGGATGCCAGGTGACCGTATCTGTTTCACCAATATAAGCATTCCTTCATTGACAAGCACAGGTTACGGAGGCTAACTCTCTGATGAACCAAAAATAGACAACGACATTTAGAGAGCACTATCTTTCAGAAGCAATAGCCGTGGGTTTATCTGTCATTTAAATTGACACAGCTGTAGAAGTTCCGGCAATTATATGCTTTCAGCACGTACTTTGTGTTTTCAAGGAATAAAATTTTTAAGTCTTTTTCCCACAATATATCAACCTCTGTTTCTTTCAAAAGAAAAGCTAATTGGCCACATTTTGATGTGTCATTTTGCTCCATACGCAAATTAGTTAGGAAAACAAAAGCATCCTTTGAAAATTGCTTATTTTCCCATTGTCAGGAAAGAGTTAACCCGTCACATACTAATTTTCTTTTCTTCATAAAATATACCAGAGACTTATTTGTATATCAAAAAGATGGTTTGACTCGTCATTGAAAATGGTAGATCACTCATCACCTTCAAACGAAAGTTTCTGCATTTTTTCCTTAGCTAAACTGAACCTCGGCGTTGAGATCATGTGGTCATGTCACCTTTCCATGTGTCTGGAGACGTTAAATATTTTTTTAAAGCGGTAGCTGTTAGTGTTCTTTCTAGCAAAATCCTTCACCAGTCATGCACAAAGACCCCCGTGATTAGGAGGAGAGCGATAACGCCGACAGGCTATCACTCTCTTTGCATCGCCATCGCCCATGACACACCCTTGTATCTGTAACCCCAGGGCAGTGAATAGGAGGTTCCTCGTTCGGTCCCTAGTCAGCGCGGCTGGTGTCCAACAAGGGACATTTCGGGAAGGCCATGCCACCGAACAGTTGGGCACGACTGCAGCGTCACAGTCTGGCAAACATTCCGACGTTCAAGCGTCAGATCCGGTTCAATGACTGCGGTCACGAGTCGTCCCAGGGTTCCGAACATTCTGCATCAGATGGTGCTATTTGTCAAACCAGACTTTATCGACCGGTGAGTATGGCGAAATGTTCCCCTTGTTGCTCTCTTTCGCTCTTGCCAGCCCGCTCGCCACCACCTATTCAATGTTTTGGAAAGTTCCCCAGCGAGTCTACAAAACACAAAAAAGGTGTGGCACTGCACGGTGCTCACTCAGTTTCCCCCTCCCCCTCCCTCCCAGACATGGCCAGACCACGCAAAATTCACTCCCTTTCCAAAGAGCAGGAATCACAAGTACACCACACCGAGGAGAGTAGGTGGAGGGCCGTAGCGGCAAAAGAGAGCAAAGGGCGCACGACCTCAACTATCGCGCACGAGAGGCAGCGCATAACCACCTTTCCCACATCTCCTAAAGCACATCTCCTACAATTATTCCACTAAAAGCAAAGCTGCTAAAGCAAATATTCTGAAGCGCTTTGACTAAAAGCAAATCTCCTAAACTACATTTTTCGACAATGCAACAGCTGCCACTCTCAATCGCAGCACACTTTGTATGATCATCTGCAACTTTTCTTCCTGGGATAATGAAGCCCTCCTCGGTGACAATTTGAAACAAACAACAAGATAGCCTGAAGGGGGCAGAGTAAAAGTAGTTGCACAGCCATCTGTCAGAGAATGCACAAAACAAGTTCAGAAACCAAATGACAAACCAGGCTCATGTCAGGCTTTCTGGTCCGTTATGAAGGTTGCAAGTGACTCGTGATTAATAGTAACCAAGAAGTTAAAAATTAGAGGTTCTGCCGGACCCCTATATTGCTCCTATACAGTTCCATCAGATCAAACGAAGGTCCACCCCACCATGTGCCCCATCCACTTTACTGTGCTCAAACTCAACAAATGCCTGTCCCCATTTTTTCCTGATTGTCACCCAACATTTGCGTGGACGCTTGCTCGGTATTTTCCAGTATAAATCAAAGAGTAAAAACTGAAATCGTTGAGCATGCATTGAGGGGTTCATGGAGATTTCTTAGCTCGACTGCATTAAGGGCTGTCCACACAGGATATGATTCGCCCTAACTTGTATTGTGCACGACTTTTGCCGGACAGGAGTGGTAGTTTCTGCCCCACTTCTGGTCTGCTTTGAAACTGTTTTTGCCGGAGGAGAAAGCAATTGTCTGCTTGCGTCCTTGGAAGAAGCTCATTATGTAGGACCCAGGACGCAGCCCCTCCCTGCCTTTGCTGGCTGTCAAACGTCTTGAAAACAAGGAAGGGGAGAAGACAATGGCAAAGCCAAGGAGGAAAGTCATGCCGTGTTGCGCCCGGCTGCGCAATTCGTGTCCTCGGTGAAATTGCATATGTGTGCCAAGTCGGACACAATTTTTTTTCTTTGAGTGGCACAAATCGTGCACAGCAGCCCCCTGTAGTTGGGAGGTTAAATTGAGCAGAGGAGCAGCGGCATACCGGGGTGGTCGAAGTTGAAGCGCCCCCTGTTGGCCAGCTCCCTCTCGTGGGGATGCAGCTCCCGGTAGAAGCTGTCCTGATGCAGGCAGACCAGGCGGCTCTGGCCCACGCAGCGCACCTTTTCCATGATCTTGCGGCACACTGTTGTCTGCAACATGAGCCGCTGTCAATGGGTTTCACGTTTTAAACTCAGTTGATGCTGTCTTTGCGTGGACGCTTACAGGCGACAAGGACATGGGCAAAAAGCCAACATGTGCTGGCTAGCCCTAGCCAACCCCTGTTTCTTGGGTAGGGGCAGAAGGACATGCAAAAAGTGAAACAAAACAAGTTACATTTGCCCAACGAAAAAAATAAAAGCCAACACAAAACCAACTTGCGATTTAAATCTTCCAGAAGCATTTCACTGTCATGTGCAGAAAAGATTAACCAGTGCCATCGGCGTAAATTACGAAGGTATGTCTGTACCAATTTTTTTGGTACCGATTTTCCCACCCCCCAGATGTGATGGATGAGGAAACTCTTCACATCACTAGTGCTACTGACAATGTTACACGTTACTGCTCAGCAACAACAGAGGCAAGCATCTATGTCATCAAAATATTTGTGTAATGTTTCAGTTTTTAAGTCAATGCCAATAAATGCCAGTTTCCTCTACAAGTATCAGAAGTGTAATAAAGAAAATGCAAAAAGTTATGTCCTCGCCATAATTGGTTGCATTGCTGCACCCAACCGTCCGATCAGACGTCCGATCGCTGCTCCGACTCGCCGCAAATGATTATCCGAGACACGTGCTTCCGAGCGAGTTTGCGACGCGTCGTTCCAACGGTTCTGATCGGCTCCGCCGAGTTCCATGACCAGTGCGTGTTGCCTGACTTCCTTCTTAGCAATGCAGTGAAAGGTACAGGCACGCGTTCCATCGCCCATTTTGAGCACTGAATAAAGCTGTGCGCGGGCTCTCCTCCTCTTCCCGGAAATGCCAAGAAAAGGAAGAGGGATTCGTAACCAGATCCTTGCCTCCTGAATAGCCCGCTCCCCAAAACGTGACGTCCTCATGATGTTCCCGCTACCTGCGTCGTCATTGGCTGCGGCCATCCGACCACCGCAACCACCTCTGGACAGTCAGTCGCATACCGCAACGCCGTTCCGACGTTGCAACACGACCAAACAAGCCGTATCCGATCGTCGTATTGCCTGATCAAACATCAGATCGGACGGTTTCATTGTTACATGTAACTCTAAAGCAAAAGTCTAAAACAAATGGCACTCTGCATGTGCATTTGTCAGCACCTTCCTTTGATTATTTATTTTAAAACTTTAATTCAGGTAAGGCGAGTACATGCAGATTGTGTACCTACATTTCCAGCATTCTATCTAATGCCCGAGTAATTTGGCAAATGTCTGTCGGCTACCTGAACCCACAGTATTTCTTCTTTGACAGTGAATTTGCGCTGTTTTTTGTCACAACGTCCAATGACTCTTGGTGGAATTGTTGTGTACTAGGCTTTCGTGACCCATTTCGTTTTGTTTCTTCCCCCAAAACATCTTAAGAGCTCCCCTGTTAAGGCTGGTGCAGACATTTAAACTTGAGCATGACCGACTGCAATACAACTCCTTACTTTCCCATAAGGCACATCGCACAAACCTCGATTGCAATAGCAACCATGTCATCAGGAGAAGTTGTAAGGGGTCTTAAAGGGGCCCTGCAATCATATTTAAGCAGCTACCTTTTTTGCGGTTTCCACGTCTCTTGAAGTTCGGGCAAGCCAGCGGGCACGGAGAGAGTAACTAAATATCAGTGCGTCATATTTTAACCGGACGACGCGGAAACCTCCTCCACCGACGAGGGCGACCCGCGGTACCAAAAGCGCGCAAAATGTGACGTCTTTGGTCCTGGGCTTACTACTGGTCAGAGCCGCTAAAAGCTTCTTTTTAGGCGAAATACAAAATATAAGTGTCGCAAATCGTTTCAATTACCTATAAAAGTAGTTTTTGTTCACTATTTTAGATGAGAAAAGAAACAAATGCAGTTTATAAAGTACGGAAACAAGAAATGACCCGTCGACATACCCGCCACCAAGCGGTGGAAAAGGCAGCGCATACTAGAAAGTAGTAGTGGGATCAGGCGCCGACAGGGAAAGGTCCCGGATGTACGCAGCAGCGCTGCGGTCGTATGGGCAGGAGGATCCGACCGGCTCCGAGCCTTCCGAAGGCCTTCGGCGAGATGCTTTGTCTTGCGGTTTGGCCGTTTCGCGGTATGGCAGCGCGAAGTGGCTCCCACTCTGAACTGATCTTTACTCCGTGTTTGCTGTCGTTTGTGACCAATGAAGTGTCATGCCGAATTAGTGTTTAATCACGCAGCAAATGCAATGAGAGCCGCTCTGGCTGCCCGCTGCATACAGCCTGTCCAGAACATGCTTTAGTGGCGCCCTCTCGCGCCGTCGACACGGAATGCGGCAGCCGTGAGCGCTCGCGATGAGCTCACTACCCCTCCTCTAGTTCACGGCCGCTCAAGCAACCAAGGACGTCACGAGGGAGGTTATTTTTTGCTTGTTTTTGTAATTTTGATTTGCCTATAACTTTTAAAATAAAGCGAATTTCAAGAAAATAAAAGTTACACTAAGTTACTACGTTCAGTACGCTCAGGTTTGGTGCAAATTAAAAACTAGTAAAAAAGTGCTTGCAGGGCCCCTTTAATGTAGACCAGTGGTCGGCAACCAGCGGCCCGCGGGCCTAGTCCGGCCCGCAAGGTAGTATCATACGGCCCTCAGCCCCCCGGTAACCCCCCCTCCCCCCCTACGCAATAGGCTAAAGAAACAAAAAAAAAATAAAGTTGACTAATTCGCTGCCCGTCTGCGAGCAGACTTTTTCACAAATGAAGTGCATAAAATCCAACTTCCGCTCACAAATGACTGACGAGAACCTCCACAATGTTTTGCGACTCGCAGTTAGCAGCTTGAATGTGGATGTTCGTAGTTTGGCGAGCACAGTTCAACACCAAAAGACTCACTGAGAGGAGTCTCTGGGTTTTCGTGGAAATGTCGTATCTCATGTTGTTTGTCGTGAAATAAAGAAACTGTTCATTTTTGATTTATGTACGTCAATGTAAGTTCGTGCAAGTGCTTTTTTTTAATTTTATATCCCGTCCTCCTCCTCCTCTCTCCCCCTCCCCCCCGCTGCTTGCCGTCCGGCCCGTTCCGCCTTGGCTGAGCGGCGACTCGGCCCGCTTCGCCAAAAGGTTGTCGACCACTGATGTAGACACTTGGACCCAAGCACAAATGTCTGAACCAGCGTGAAATGCCTTCTTGATTATGACAGAGCCAAACTTGATGCTATCGGCCATGATTTGTGCACCTTACTACCTGCAGCGGTTTCTTGAGCAGTGTGTTGAAGCCTCTGACATCCAACATAAACTACTCATTTTTTCGGACAAAGCACAAAATGGTGGTGTCATGACACTACAACAAATTCCATAGCTGAAGAGGTACACGTCTGCAAAGGAAAACAAAAAAAAACGACACCAGAAAAAGGACAATGCCGAAGACTCTGGCATCCTCCTGGAGGCTGAGGCCTTGGAGGCTGCGTCAGTCTCCACAACTACACCATTAAAGTTTCTTTAGATCGACATGATTTTCGGTGTTAGGTCATAAAAATTGTTTCATGAATATTATCTTTTATGCAACAAATGTCCGTTACAGATGGTGTATTCCCAAATATTTTTAGTTTTGTGTCTGCACAGCATGCAACTTAAGGAAAAAGAGTTCAAGAAGCCCCGGAAAATCGGTTCTCAGGCGGTGCAAAGACAGAAGCAGACACTTAATGTTGTCTGCTTGCTCCAAGGCAGAGTAAACAAACCACCCAAGGGAAGATGGATCAAAGCAGCCTTGTCATACCATAGATGCAGTGGAAAACAGATGCACTTCCACTGCTTCAGCTGCGGACTACACCCAAAGGCAATGTTGCGCCACTGAAGCTTTCAGAGATTCCAGGAAGCATACTGAATTGTGAGCAACCTGATCAAACAATGAAACAGAAGTTAACTAGGGCCATGAAGCTTTGGATTTCTCTCATCGTTACATCCTGTCTACTTTAAATTACACTGGAGAGCTTATCACTGGAGTATGAGGGTCAGATAGCCCACACTGGAAAGATTGATGGCCAACATAAGAGGGGGGGGGGTCTAAAGATTTTAAAGAGAAGAGACTGCATTTGCTATTATTTTTGTGAACTCTCAGCTTTGCCAGTGACATCCTTAGATTTTGTTTGTCTACATGACTACTTTGAGCCATGGCCTGATGTATAACAATAATTAAAATGACACCACACTGCCAAAGTGCTGTCATTTCTAATAGAACAAAAGAGCAAGTACACTGTCGTTTCCGTTGCTCAATTAACTCAGGAATTAACCAAGTTCAACATGTCTCTAAAGAACAATCACTTAATTTGACAGTTCTTTGCTTTCCTGACGATTTTTACGACAACACTCTGAACAAATACTTGTCTTTTAATGGCCATAATTTTTGAAGGCAAGAATCTTGAGCTCGTAGCTTTATCTTTGGCAGTTGCTCCTGCTGATCAAGAGCTTGCGGAATTGTTGTAGATTACAATAAGCTAGGAAGCAAAAGACAAAGCAAAACCAGGGGCAAATGAACACAGATAAGTATAAACTATGTGAATATGTTAAAAAAGCAGAGTTACTTTTCGAGCGACAATGAATCAGCAAGAAGAGATCACATGGCACATGTTATTTCTAGCACTCGAGAAATGGACTGGGACTGATAGCCGGTTGCCTGCGGGCCATGTCCCAGTGAGTCGTTGGCCACGTGTTTGAGACCTCAGGCCTAAGCAGTCCAAGTTGCCTGTGCATAGGCAGATGTGTTGATCATTGCTTGATCATTGAAGAAATTGATTCCTCAAGGAGTTTGTCTGGTGTTTATTAGCACACCAGGAGAGGCCAGCACCTTGTAAAGCAGAAGCTGTGTGGCGCATGCTGAGATAGGGAACACGTGAGAGTGTGCAGGCTTTTCGACCAGATGAAAAAAGTATTGAAAAAATGTGGACGTTGACTGGTATTCATGGTGTTAGTCAGCAATGCAAAGTACCCTCCCACATTGCCTTGTAGACTTTACGTAACACGACATCACGTGTAATTTCCTCGACAACTTGCTTCGCTGTGAGCGGCATGAAGTCAGCTGCGGTAGTTCAAGAGCTGCACAGTATTTTTGCCATTTTGGGGATACCTTGTAAGGTTGCGTCCAATAATCAAACAGCCGTCGTCGCCGACGAAATCTAAACATTATATCGCAACAATGGTGTCAAGGCAATGACCAGTGCACCGCATCATCCAGCCACTCACGGGCAAGTCGAACGCATAATTCAAGAGTTAAACCCCCTCTTGCAAAAGGAGGACTGGACACTCCTCGGAGCGTGGGAGCCCGCTTCCTGTTCAAGTAGCATACAAACCATCCACGTGGCGATTGGAAGACTCCAGCCCTAGATGTCCTTTTGAAGGAACTTCCCTCAAATCTGGAACGGCTGAAGCGTAATAACTAGGAGCATCCAGCGGGTCACACAGAAAATCCGCATGAGTTATATGTTGGCCAAGAAGTATGGATACAACAGTTTCTAGGACGCCGCAGCCGGACCCAGGGTGAAACAGTCAAGCGAGCAGGACCTGGATCCTGGATAATAATTACGCGGCAAAGGGAAGTGTGCTGCCACATCAGTCACATCCGAGATCGAAGCCCGTCGCTGCAGGGTCATCCAGAGGCGGTCTTGTCTTCTGTGTGGGACTCGGACATCCGAGAGGTGCCCCAGTTGCACAAGATGTGATAGCTGCCCAACCAGAGAACCCACTAATCACACAAGATGTGGCAACTGCTCGACCAGCCATGCCACCGCTTGGAACACGCATCAGTACCCATCTTCGGAAGCCACCTCAGCGCTACGGGGCCCCTGTCTAGGTGGGGAGAGGTGTGGTGTTCATCAGCACACTACGAGAGGTCAGCACCTCGCAAAGCAAAAGCAGTGTGGGACATGCTGGGATTGGGAACATGAGAAGAGCTTGCAGGCTCTTTGACCAGACGAAATATAGCAATGGAACAATGTGGACGATGACCGGTATCCATTACATGAAGTCTACACGGCAACACAGGAGGGCACTTTGCATCGCTGACGAACACCACAGTTTCTTTAGATCCCCAAAAACTTCACGAGAAAACACCCATAAGTGAAACCCTCCTTTTGCGTGATAAGTATTCATGGGTGCTTCGGTCTCAACATCTGGTCACCAACTTCAGCAAAAAACATCTTGTTAAAGGCTACCATAAATACACCTTTCGCTTACAAAGTTGTTTGAAAGAAGCCGACATATGTGCCGAGAAGCTCAAGTAGGAAATTTGTGTAGAGTAACAAATTTTGTACATCTCAGTGTAAGGTTGCCTTGATCAATCACCTAAAGGTGTGATGGCAAAGCTGAGCGGCACAGCCCTGAGACTACGATCAAAACATTGGAAACCAACGTGCTGATAACAAGGCTGGCGATGCACCATCAGTGATTTAGAGAATGATGTCTTGGTTACCAAGTGATGCCATGACAGGCATAACTTGGCAAATGGCAAAACCTATGGTCTGCACGAGCAGATTAGTTTGACAGAGCGAAGCATGCAACACTTTTTAACGGCAGGAGTGCACTCCTAGATTGCACCGTCACATGCCTCACTTCGGTGCTCGGATTGGAAGGCTGATGCCGTACTATTCGCCGTTTGGCGTTATGCTGAAACGGAGCATAGATGAGGGGATTAAGTACTGCCATTCGCCGCCTGACAGCTGCCCCCCGAAAAAAAGCTACACTGAAATATAGGAAATAAGCGCCCGCACCCATGATCGAAACCAACTAGAAAGCATTGGAGTGAGTGGCGCTGCCTAAGTTTGGACAATTTGTGGAGGTTATTGCCCACGTGACCGAAATTTGCGAATGAGAAGGTGAGCAGCTAACAGATCAGTTGCGGTGCCATGAATTTATCGAGTGGCCACGATCGCAGCCTAACTCAGCGTAGCGCTGAAGACGAGTAGAGTGACCCACTTTTCCAGAGGCCGTGCCGCCGGCGACGCCGATGAGGAACGGTGTTTTCGTCTCGAAACCGTTCAGGTTGCAGAAAGTGGTAGTTTCGTCCGCAGACATGGTGGTCGCTCTACTCATTTACGCACGCACTCACGCACAGAAGGAGTTGGGTGTTGAGCTATACTCTGCGCAGAAGCTCACAGTTCAAGATTTTCAAGCTTCTCCAAACTACAGAGCTCTATCCAAATGGAATAATCGTGCACCGTAAGTTCACCGGGTATGCACCCAACATCGTCCCAATCTAATTTCTGTCCGACCTACAGTCCGACCCGGCGAGCCGCTTAGCGCTTTCGAGTCACGAAGTCGCTAAAAAGCCGCTCGAAAAATACGGAACCCGAGCCAATAATATCCAATCCAAGATTAGCTACTCGTGCTTGTGTTCTGCTGTTGACGTGCCGTTGGTTGGGTTGGTTGCGTGTTGAGCGGAGGTTCTGCTAGTTTTTACACTGTTTTTGTGCTGTGCGTATTTTTATTTAATTTGTGATTGCCAACGCCACCTCGTTCAAGCTGTAGTCTATTCTGTCTTCTCTTCATCACGTCCAAACGAACTGTTTGTAGCTGCGTCACCGGTGGTCTCTGAAGGTGCCAACGGCTGCTACACTACGTTTTACCTTACGTGGACACTACGAGCTACTGGAGCCAATGGGACGCCGTGTGAGTGTAACGTGACTTTCAGGATGGTGCAGGGACGCGCGAGACCCGTAGTCACGTGGGACGTTCACAGCATTACAGCATGTACACCAACTCTTCGATCCCGCTTTGGGCGGTCCACAAAAATCGGTGTCTCAACGTATCGGGCTGAGATTTACTGCAGAGATGCGGCTCGTTGGTGCACTGATGGAGCTGAAATATCAACAGATCAACTTAACTCGTTAAAAAAAAAAAAAAAAGTTTCTGGCAATCTACAGCGCTATTTCCCGCGCGACGCAGACGGTGCTCGTTGACTTCGAGACACTGCCGACGGATGGCGTATCTATCGAAGTTGCGCGGGGCGCGTCGATTCGTTGTTGGATAAGACTATGGTGCCTGGATCACGTCTCCGACTGGTGTGTTTAGCGTCCTATCCCGCCCATACATCAAAAGTGGTCCCCAAGTGGCAACAAATGATGTCACAGAAGCCGGAGTGTCTGTTGCCTGTCGCGATCCTGGCGGTTGGCCGTAGAAATGCTGGCGAAAAGCTCGAGCGAACGCGAGTGTCGCTGTCGTCACGGCGTCCCAGGCGTCCCAACTTCCGGCTGCTCTAGCTTCCGTGGACTGTCACAGTGGAGAGTGGCCTGCAGTAGAACAGGCGTCTGCTATATGTACCACAACTGTTGGGACGCCCCCAGGGTTGCGACCGGCGACAGCATGACACTTCTATGACGTCATCAGGCAGAAATCGAGGGACCACTTTTTTTAGCCGCGGTAAGCACACCAGTCGGAGAAGCGTTCCAGGCACCATAATAAGACGATCTAGCGAAAGGTTTTCGGTGCGTACGCCATCTGTCGGCAGAGTCTTCAAGTCAACGAACACTGTCTACATCGCCCGGGAAATGGCAACATAGATTGCCCGAAACAGGTTCTCTTTTTTTTCTTTTTGAACGAGGTAAGTTTATCTTTTGATATTTTAACTTTATGTGGGCACCACCTAGCCACACCCACAAAGCCGGTCGTGGCCACACCTGTGTAGTAAATCCCAGCGCAATACTTCGAGAAACTGGTTCTTGCGGATCTTACAAAGTGGGATTGAAACGTTAGTGCACATGCTGTAGATTGGCCGTGATGGCTCACAGCGTTCATAAGCTGAAACGTAGTATAGATTGGGGTCTCTTTAACCTGAACCATACCCTGTTTCATACTTAGTGTGCAACGCTGTCAAAGCTGCTGGCGCGGACATGGGGTTTTATCTCTCAGATCATTTGCACGCATTCTCGCGTAAACGAAACCGTAGCTGATGCTATGAACTCGCGCCAGTAGCATTGACAGCATTGTATACGAAGTATGAAACAGAGTATAAGCATTACTTATTACAAGTCGTAAAAAAGTGTTCTTCTAGCGTGTGCATGCTTCAACAAGCCACTCCATAGCGAACACCGGTCAAGTCAGCCCAGGGTGAGTGAACGACATGAAGGCACTTAAAGACCGAAGGATCGCTCGTGCCACATCTTGTGGCGGTATGGTAGGTAACAAGCACGGTCAATTAAAACTGTGAGCATTGTTGCTTGCATGAATGTTTTGCACGTTTATACTTTGGCTGTTGTGGCTTGGGAGGTGGCAAATAGTTTGGCCTTAATGTCCACTGCTTAGCCCGTTCTGCATTTCAGTTCACGGGTAACAGATGCACCAAAGTCCCAGATCCCCAAGCACATATTGTCTAATTGCTTTGTCAAAGTGTTCAGGTGGAACAATGATAGTGCTTGCAAGAGTGACCGTGTTCAGAGATCACTAAGAGTAAGATGTGTTGTTCACTACAGTAGGTGACGGGATAAGAGTAAAGTGGAAGCTCCTCTCACCTCTTCCCACTTACACAGAGTGAATTTTGGAAAGGAGGCGACCTCCTCTCCAGCGTGTGCTCTGCTAAGATGGAAAGAGGTGGAAGGTGCCTTCTTTTGACTCTTAACCTTTCACCGACTTAGTAAATTCGTAGTGGCCATGGTATCATTGTATTGACCCACATTTGAAAAAGGAGCCCAGCTTTTGTTTTATGTCATGGTATCCTATATTCATAAAGAATTTTATGCTGACAGGTATGTTCTGGCTGCAAAGTATCAGAATGGCTATGCTTGTTGTGCTCTCTGCAAGAAAAACTAATGGTAGATGCCCACTCACAAAGAAGCATTTGACTATGTTGCGGGGACTTGCACAGAAAGATGACCGCAAGTTACAAGGTCATCCTTGCTTCGGATTAAGCGTGGTAACCATTTGCAGAAGTAACTTGGCATGCAGCGTAGAAAATATGGTCACTTGCATCTCAACGTGACATAGTCGGATGCTGTGTGTAAATATTGTTTATTGTCTGTGGCTCAACATTGATTTATGCAGCCTCTTCCAAGCGCTTGTTTTTGTGGTAATTTATCATGGAACATTTCAGCGGTCAAGCCCCGTACAGAAAACAGCAAGGATGTCGGGTTGTGTTTAATTTTCAAAGTGCCCGGTAAGGTAGAAATTGAGAGAGAGGAGGAGATGGGAGCGCGCAGGGATGTCAGGACACCGAGCTCCGATTGGAATGATTTGTGAGCAGACGCAAGGCTAGCTGCCTCTGTCTACTCACTGCTCGGAAGTGAATGAGCTACACTGGACGCTGGCATTCAGCTTCCGGTGAGTAGAGATGCAAAGGAAAAATACTTTTTTTTTTAAACAGCTTAGATAGAAAAGGACGTCATAAAACAATATTACAACGAAGAAACAAAATTCTATAATTATGGGGCTATACGAATTTGTAGTTGGCGCCGGCGGGCGCCGCGGAAAAGTGGTCCTTATTTATCACGTGACTGGCCCTTATTTATCACGTGGTGCTTGCGCTTTTTCGGAAGCTTCCTGTGGCCTCTGAAAGTAACTTATTAATCTTTGTTTGAAGTATATAAAAAAACTAAGATTAATAAGTAACGCTTAGAGCCCAAAGGAAACTCCTGAAAAAGCGCAAGCAGGCGTGATAGACCTGTGCGCCGGTCAGATGACGGCGGCGGCGCCCCGAAGCAGACGAACTTGTGCGGCGACGGCGGCGTGGAGAAACGCGTTGAAGCGGCGTCGCAAAGCGCTCAGCGTTCGGCGGCGGCGTGACTTTGCGGTGGCGGCGACGCAGCGCGGCGGCGCGTGGGCCTACCACATGATTAGCGGCGGCTCCCGCGGGCGCCAACTACAAATTCGTTTTCCGCCCTAAATATAGCTCTTTTTTTTTTTTTTTGTTCGTTGTAAATTCGTTTTATAATATTCTTTTTTCATCTAGCCTGTTAAAAAAAATTGTTTTTCCTTTGCATGTGTCTTTTAAGGCAGCTAGCTTTGCGTCCACCCGCTAATCATTCCAACCAATGCTGAGCGTTTTGACGTCCCCGCGCACTCTCATCTACTCCTTTCCCTCAGCTTCTGCCCCAAGCAACACAGAGTTGGCCGAGCATTGGCCAATGGCTGGCAGTGGTCCTTTGGGCAGTGGCCAGACAGTGGTCAGAGATTGGCCGATGACTATGGTCATTGGCCAATGGCCATCAGCCATCGGCCAAGCATTGGCCAATGACTGGACACTCTTTGGCCACTGGCCACAAGACCATCCCCAGCCATTGGCCATTGCTTGGCCAAAATCCGTGCTGCTTGGGACCCATCTATCAACAGAAAACTGACTTGATAAGTGCATTCCAAAACTAATATACAGGCCTGTCGTAGTTATCTAGCCGTAAATAAACAGAGTTGTGCGTCTTTCCGTCAGTAGCTTGGTCTGAGAATGACTGTTCCTGCTGCTTAATATTTTAACCAAATGTATAGATATCACTTTATGCAAGCCATTATGTTGCTGGGAGGTTGAAGTGCAGGTCAGATTTGTCTAGCCAAGCCACACAGCTGGAGCTATTCAGGGAACTTTTGACATCAATAGCGTAACCTTATTAGTGGTAATAGATTCATCCACACTTTATTTCGCTTAAGTGGGGACGAGGGTCTTTAAACAACGAAAAATGACAAAATTATTGATTTTTTTTAAATCACAATTTTGAAATCTTTTGCAGCACAGTACCCCTCCACAAATTAAGATTGTACAATTCCATCTCTAGCTAGTTTAAAACAAGCAAATTTCAAGTCTTCAGGAGCTGGATTTTATTAAAATGTGGGGAAAATGTTCAAAGTTTTTTGGCCTTTGGATGTTTTGGGAAGGTTCTCGTGAATGGATTTCAGGAAACTTGGTATTGTTGTTTTCTGCGATAACTGAACTGCATCCTAAAGCTTAATGATGGGCGCTATACTCAATGGATCAAATTAATAGGCTGCAGCTTAAAGTAATTATCATCCCATCTATTTCCCGTCTGCTGATGTGATTTATTTGTTATGAATGCTCTATAAATATGCAATCACCTTTAGATTGTATGGTGAACCCTTGTAAATCACTTTATGTAGTTTAACGACCTATAAGATATGACCTAATTAGTATTATATACTTTGCTATATCTTTTGTTTTGAGAAAACATATGGTAAATTTGATTGCAAATTTAAAAGCAGCATTAAGAATTGCATCTTTACTTTGTATTTGAGTGAGATGTTAATGAATAAGAACATTTAAAAACCCTCATCCTAACCTAAGAGTAGCCCCTTGTTCATAACATTTTAATTCATTTAC